GAGAAGGGGGCCAGCCCGGTTTGCCGGGATCTCGCTTGAGCGAAGCGAGATCCCGGCTTGCCGGGCTTGTATGAATGCACAACCGGGCTAGCCGGGCTGGAAATTTGCGTGCTTTATTCCACTGATAAACAGTCTAAAATGTCAAAAACTATAGGAATTTATTGAAGTTAAACCTCCTGAAGCTGTTGCCGTCGACAAAAATAAAATTTTGCCAAATAAACACGAATTTTATTTTCCCGCTAAAATATCGCGGGAAATCGTTACTATGAATAGATATGATTGCCGGGCTAGCCCGCCTCATGTGAAAGCAAAGCGGGCCAGCTCGGTTAACCGCGGGCTCATATGAACAGGCCCTTTATAGTGAGATCATAAGAACGTCCATTATTGCATTAAACATGGTTCAATTAACCCCTGAACAGAGAACATGCATTCGTAATCAAAACGTTTTATACGAAACAAGTACTTTGCAGCAGACTCGCGGTGCTTTCGGAATTTGCATAATTAATGTATTTTCATTTCCCAACGGTGGAAGAATGTGATTTCGATCGAAATTTTTTATTTGACGAGTATGTGGCCATTTCTCATCGTTGCGGTTTAAGAAATATATCATAGAAAAGCTAAATAACAGCTCATTCGTCCTATGTAAAATTTGATTGTTTAGTTAAGTTTGTGCTGCACAACAGACTGTTGAATTTCCAAAGCGTTTTTTTGAGACACCCTGTACAATGCTATCTATAATTTTGTGTATAATTTAAATATTCAAATTGTTTCGCATGTAACGGAGGAGTCTTTGCCTAGATAGGATGACTTTAACATATGCTTGATAACAGAGAGCTATATACCTCGATGTCAGAAAGGTTTATATAATACCTTATTGAATTCTGATCATTTAATTGGCTGTTTATGGACACGTAATATTGAATAGAAAATTCCATTTCCCAAGAGTGCAATGGAATACGTTCCATTTCACTCTTGCGAGTGCAGTTGTACTATACGTTTTATTCCATTGCACTCTTTGTGTTTTCGATAAATCGCATCCGTCAAAATGCTTCTCGTACGGTGATCGCAGTTTATTTTAACCCGATATTCGAAACTCAGTAAATGGGATTTAATGCTAAATACGACTCCTCAGAATGGCGGGAGCTTACAGTAAACCTTTTAATATTAGTCTGGTTTGGTATTATATAAAACAAATAATGACTGTTTTTATTCGTGTAATGGTAAGAATATTTTCGATGGAACATTCCATCTTTCACCTCATGAAAATATTCTTACCATTGCACGAATAAAAACATTCATTATTTGTATAATATATCACAGTCT